CAGGACTCCTGGGTTCTCTCCCCAGCTGTGGAAGGGGAGGGAGATTTAGTGGTTAGAGCGGGGGGCTGGGAGCCAGGACTCCTGGGTTCTCTCCCCAGCTGTGGAAGGGGAGGGAGATTTAGTGGTTAGAGCGGGGGGCTGGGAGCCAGGACGCCTGGGTTCTATCCCTGGCCTCGGGGGGGGGGGGAGTGGGGGATAGTGGTTAGAGCAGGGGGCTGGGAGCCAGGATGCCTGGGTTCTCCCCAGCTCTGGGATGGGAGTGGTGGCTTTTGGCTGGAGCTGGGGGCACTGGGTTTTGTTCCTGGCGTGGGGACGGACATGTCTGATGTCCCCTCTCTGCACCCTCCTTCCCCCGTGTGGGGGGTGTGACGATGCTGCCCATGGGCACCAGCTGAGGTCACTCAATCAGGGTGAACTGCAGAAGGAACGGGGCAGACAAACCCCAGAAGCTGGTGGTTATTCCAATGCTTAGATTTACCAACCAGCTTCTGTAGTACCTCACTGGTTACTCAGAAACCCAAACAACGCAGTTCCCTTAAAGTACCCAGTCTCAGGCCTCCATCCAGACACACACGTCAGATATGATGATGATTACTGAAAATCTTATTTCATCATATAAAAGACAAGGTTCTTCCAATCCCAAAGGATCAGCCCCACACCCAGGTCCAATAATAACTTAGATCTGACCCAACATACACGCTATGGCCAATTCTTGTTAACTAAACTAAAAGTTATTATAAAAGAAAAGAGAGTGTTGGTTAAAAGATCAATACACAGACAGACTTGAATTCAACTCTTGAGGTCCAGATACACTGCCGAGATGAGCTTGTTTGTGGTTGCCAAAAGTCCCTTTAGAAATAGTCCCATAGGCACCAACTTTCTCCGGTGTCGGTGGGTGCCCACGCCCCCCTGCCCCTTTCCCCGTCCCTGCCCCCGCCCCCATTCCAGCCCCATCCCAAAAGTCCCTGCCCTAACTCCGCCCCCTCCCTGCCCCTATTGGATCCCTTCCCCAAATCCCCGCCCCGGCCTCGCCTCTTCACCCAGCACGCCACGTTCCCCCTCCTCCCTCCCTGCCCCGCGAATCAGCTGTTTCGCGGCACAAGTGCTAGGAGGGAGGGGGGAGAAGCAGGACGCGGCGGCGCGCTCGTGGAGAAAGCAGAGGTAAACTGGAGCAGGGGGGGAGGCGGGGAGCTGCCGGTGCTCTTTTTCCATGGGTGCTCCAGCCCCAGAGCACCCACGGAGTCGGCGCCTATGAATAGTCCATAGGTTATAGTCCAATGTGCATATTCAGGGAGACTCCAGTCAGTGACTGGGGATCTCAATCCTTGTGGCTTAAGGTTTCCCCCTCTTGAACCCAAAGCAGATCTGAGATGAAGCAGGATCGTGTCCCAGGGTTCTTACACATTTCCAGCGGCCTTTCGGCCTGAGACAACAGTAGGCCTAACTCTCCTTCTCCCAAACGTCCTGACAATGAGCCCAGGGGAATTTATCCAGTACACAGTTCAGATCCAGGTTACCACAACCTTCAAAGAGCCAGAGAGACCATGTGTCTGTTGCGGAGTATGGGGGAGTCAGGGCCCTGCACCCCTCTTCCCGAGATTCACTGC